GAGCAGCTGACTGAGCTAATTGCTGAGTTTCATGCTGAGCTGGCAGCTCTGAGTGCTTTAATTCAGCACGTGCGATTTCAAAGTCCACTATAAAAGCTCACTTGATCTCCTCGCCAAGGTTGAAGGCGGCAGTTCCCGAACCATGTTCAGCCTCAGTTACTAACTTTAAAGCAGCCACACAAACAGCCTGTTAATGGGCTCTAGTTTAAACACTCCTTCCCTGAATGAATAGTCACTGTTCCAACAGGTAATGACAAAATGCCTCGGTTACTCACAACAGCTTCACAATGAGTAACTACAGGGACGGCTGACAGTGAACTAACAGTCTCCAGGCCCACTGACCCAGAGAAACCCACAGTGGACAGGTTAGACCTTTCTCTCTACTTTCAGCTAGCTTAGCATTGCTAGTGAGTGGGGAAGAAACTGCCTTCATCTTGTTAATAGCAAGTGGCGTTACAACTAGCACTGCTGGTCCTTCGTCTGCTGACTCAGCAGACGTTGAAGGAGTGAGAAAAGATGGGGTAGTGTGCCGATGGTGAGGAAGCCTTCTTCCCTGAAGTGGAGGGTCCAACGAGTGAGCAGCAGACGACGGTGGGGAAACTGGAGCTCCCAGGGAGGCAGCCGCACCCTCCTCGCCCGGACTGCCCAAACCAAACAGCTCCAAGCTGGAACTTGCCCTCAGCACGGTTACAATTTGAACTATTTTTTTAATGTCCAAAAAGCTCAGTACACACTACCTGTGTGTGAAGTGAAGGACAGTGGATTTATTTATAGTGAGTGGAAAAAACAACATGTACAAATGCAGCACTGTGGCTCCCGCGGCGATTCCACACCGTGCACGTGTCCATAAACAGTGAAGAGGTGACAACTCCGATCGCGCTCCGTGATTTCCCCTCGAGACGACGCTCCTCGCTCCCGACTGAGACTTTACAGGTTTGGAATAGTATAGTCCCGCGCTGACTGGAGCTCCGCCCCCTTCTTAGAAAGGACTCTCGTGATGAGGCCATCAGCTGCAGCTGCTAACGAGCGGCAGGTGTCGCAGTCCCTTCAGTGACCCAAAGTACCCCGTATGACCACACACACAGGAAGGAGGAAGGAAAACCACCGAAAACACAACATACGGAAAAATAAACATGTACATTAGCTTACTTAGAG